AAGCCATTTATGGCCTTAAAGAATCCCCTCGGGTTGGTGTCATAAGCTTCGTACCTTTTTACTTTATTCTATCTTTAAGAATTTTCATGCTGATTCTTCTTTTTTATAATTACTAATACTGATCACATTATGTATCTCCTAGTCTATATTTGATGATTTAATCATTACAAGCTGTAGCATAGCTATGGTTAGTAAATTTGTGATTGTACTTTCTCAAAAGTTCTCTCTTAAAGATCTCATCTTGCTGAATTACTTTTTGGGTGTCGAAGTTGTTCCTAATAAAAATGGCTTGTTGCTCTCTCAACGATGATACATTTGTGACATTCTCGCCCAAGCCCACATGTAAGACTTGAAGCCAATTCTTACTCCTTTGCCAACTAGTACGACTCTTACATTGACCTTAAACTCTTCCTTGTCATATTCTATTGTGTATCGTACTGTAGTTGTTAGTATTCAATATCTCTTATTAATACGACCCGACATTGCTTTTGGACTCTCAGAGTACATATCACCAACTAGTGACCATTGACCATGTGTAAAGCAGCTCTTACGATACTTGTGTGGCACTCTTCATGATGGGTTGTCTATACTGGGATTCCTCTCTCAATTTTCATGCATCTCTTGATGGTGATTAAGTTGGCGATAAAGATTACTTTTCCTCTACAAGTGAATATGTTGTTTATCTTGGTCAAAATCCAGTATCGTAGAGTTCTAAAATGTAAAGAACTGTCGCTCAATCCTCAACTGAGGCTAAATATCATTCTGTTGCCAATGCCACTTCTAAACTCAATTGGGTTCCTATCTCTTATCTGATCTTTGCGTTAAGGTATCCTCATGTCATGTGATTTATTGTGATAACATTGGCGCCAATCAATTGTGTTTCAACCCAGTTTTTATTCAATAATGAGGCATGTTACCGCTGATTTTCATTTCATATGTGATCAAATTCAAAGTGGTACTCTATGTGTTTCTCGTGTATCGTCAGCTGAGATCAGTTAGCTGATAGTCTCACAAAACCACTCCCTCGTGCATGCTTTCTTGAGCTCAAATTCAAGATCGGACTCCGCTCCCGAGCCCAATATGATGAGGGGGCACAACAACATATCTTTCTGAATTTATTATTGTTGTTCTGTAGATTGAATTTCAAGATATTATCTCATTTGTATAGTTTAAAGTTATCATAAATACTAGTTTTTAGAAAAAAATGTTATAAAATTGTTGTATAAATACTTAGTCAATGATCAATGAAAAAGTGTTGAAACAATTCGGTTTATCATTTTTTAGTTATATCATGCTTTTCATAATTCGAAAATAAAACTTGGTTCGTTAACCTTAGTTTTAAACTAATTCAAGAAAATAATTATTGAAGATCTGGGAAGAAAATAAAAATGCCTAATTGAAGTAGGATGATAAGATAAAAAGAAAATTATAAATGGTCACGCAGCATGATTTGGACCATAATAATAAAAAAATCAAACTTTACATGATTTGGTTGATGCGTGTGTTTCCACGAACAACCAACAAAACAATAAAATTGGTTGATACTAAAGTAAAAAAAAAAAACAAATATATGAATGCTTGAAGCGAGTCTGCTACTTTCATGTTGATACCTATTGTCAAGACTGATGTTCCATATTAAAAAACCAACTTTGTTGAGAGGAGTAACACAATTCTTTATAAATTGGTTCATATTTTTATCTTTAATCGATGTGAAATTTTATCCCTTAATATGTCCTTGCATGATGGTGGTTTGTTTGAGTAGACTAATTTTGAAATTCGTATGCTCATTTTATATTTTTAGTCTTAATTGTATCGAATTACTCGTTGAAACTTAATAAGTTATGATATGATGTTAAGATTTCATTTTAAAAGGCCAACTTTATTAATATGAACAGTCTAATCCTTTATAAGTTGATCTATATTTTTTGTGTTTATTCTATATTCGATATAGAATGTTATCCTTTAACACTTGTATCAGTTAGTTTTATTAATTGACGGTTCACAAAAAGGGGTAGTGAACAAGTATCTGTTAGTTTTATTAATTGACTGTTCACAAAAAGGGATAGTGAACAAATTAATTTCTCCGACTTTAAAAACCACCGGTACCAAGGTTTAAAAGATCACACATGTTTACCCTTATATTTAACATTTTGTGACATACCTTGAGATAAATAAGGTTTATCACATTTCTCTTAAACCCCAAGAATATAAAAAATGAAACCCTATTCTAATGCTCCCAAAACTTTACTGGTAAACAAAAAAACGAAGCTTGATCAGATATTAATTTGAAACGTTGTGAAAACCTGTCAAAAAATTGCTTTACTTTCTTTTTCACTTCTACAAAAAAATTTCACAAATTATTATTTTTTCTGTGATCTACCCCTTCTCACAGCTTCACTTCTCAGGAACTATAGAAATAGATGGCGCTGTACTACCAAATCTATTCAGCCATGAACTAACCATGAAAATGACAAAAAATTTCAGTATTAAAAAATAAAGAGTTTCAAATACTAAATGAAGCTTAACTGTAAGCCTTTGTTTTTGATTGAACACTAAGAACTTAATTTGGCGCATATATGTTAACTTTGTTTTCTGCATTTATTCAATTCTATTTTGGAACCAGCTACCACGTCACAAGCTCATAGGAATAAAATGACATTATAATTTTAGGGTTTTGCTATTTGTATACCGAGGTTGACACAACCCCTTCACAAATGGGGGGGTCCACACCCAATAAAATAATCGTGGGCACCCCCTTGGGGGGGGGGGGGGGGGGAATGTATACCTGGACCTCGGTGCACAAGTAGCAAAACCCATAATTTTATTGCTTGATGATCAAGAACAATATGTAAATATTGATTTCAGATTTCTTTTTTATTAATATCTTATACAGTAAGTTGGACTACATAATACTCGACAATATTCTTGACCAATAGTATCAAACATTGTATACCAAATTAACCTTAATGATGTTGTAATAAACTTGAGGTAGGTAGTTACATGTATGCAGTAAGTATGTGTGTGTGATAAATGGGTGAAAATAAAAAAGAGTACTACAAGAGACATATGGAACATGGTCAAAAGACTCACAATCATTTCAAGCTTAAACTGTATGCCCTAATGAGAAAGTAAAGTTGCAGGTCAAATATAAAAGTAATATTTCTATTTGATTGTCTTGACCACCACTCTAAAGTTGTCCAACAACAACAGTTGGTCAGACCAAGAATGTCTTAATTTCCAGCTTGTTCTACATTCTTTTAATTAAACTACGATATTTTTCAATCACCTAAGCCATATATACCTTGGTGCACCAGTGCTCCATTGGAACAGAAATTAATGTTAGCCATATATAGCATGTTTGATTTAAGCATAATTTTATTTAGTTTCCTTCTAGTGTACGTTTCCTTTTTGTTTACTCTTCTTGTTATATAAGTCATATTATTCTCTTATTTAAATTCATGTATTTATAATTTTAGAAAAGGTAATAATAATTTATGACCTGGTTTTTGAAATAATTATACAAGTTTGATATTTTTAAAATATGATAGTCATGATTTTTCCCCGTTGTTTAATACAATGCCAATGAGCTCTTTTATAATCCTAGGCAATTCTAACATTTTTTTGTTCCAATTGTCTAACATTGTTCTTAAAAGTTGATAAATGTCTAACTTCATTTTTTTCTACAACATTATTTCTTTATTGTCGATTGAATTTTGTCTCAATATCTTGAAAATTAATACATAGAACAAAATGTCAATTATATGCCTCTGCAATAAAACATTCTGACTAACTTTATTTCTTATATGTTGTTTGAGATTTCCTAAATTGCGTTCAATGTGATACATCCATTTGGTAGGAACCGACCCAACTAGAAATGCCTCATAAGTTAAAAGTAAAACCAAGTGAATCATAATATCCAAAAAAGGCGGATGAAAATACACATTCCAATTTGCAAAGAATATTGAGCACATTTTATTAATTGAGACGTTGTAGAAACTATAGCTTTAAATTTCCCTTGCACTTACAGCAAAAAATTTCACAAATTTTGATTTTGTTTATGATCTATCCCTTCTCACAGCTTCACTTCTCAGGAACTATAGAAATGGATGGCAATGTACAACCAACCTTGGGTTCCAACCTATTCAGCCATGAACTAACTATGAAAATGACACAAAAATTATCTGCATTCAAAATAAAGAGTTTCAAATGCTAAATGAAGCTTTTCAGTAAGCCTTTGTTTTTGCTTGAACACTAAGAACTTTGTTTGGTACATATGTTAAATTTGTCTTCAGCATTTACTGAATTCTAGTCTGGAACCAGCTACCTGATGTCATGAGCTCATAGGAATAATTTGACAAAGATTTTATTGCTTGAAGATTAAGAACAATTTATATCAGATCTCCTTTTAGTAATATATATCTTGTTTTGGTAAGTTGGACTATAGATTACTTGGAAAATATTAAGGAAGTAAAAGAAAAATTATAATCTTGATCTATGGCACCAAATACTGAAACCAGACCTTAATGATGCAATAATAAACTCCTAACAGTGGCATGCATGATGCAGATATAGATTGTGTGTACGTGTGTGTCAAGTGGGTGAAAAAAAATGGTATTACAAGATACTTACTGAACATGGTCAAAGACTCAAAACGATTTCAAGCTTAAAATGCATGCCATAATGAGGAAGGGAAGGTTTGACGATAAGGAAAGTTGCAGGTCAAATATACATATAATATTTCTTTTTGATTGTCTTTGCCACCACTCTAACGTACTTGTCCTCCAACAACAGTTGGCCCGACCAAGATTATCTTAATTTCAAGCTTTTTCTACTCAACTCTTTTCATTAAACTAAGATATTATTCAATCGCCTACTTCATATATATAACCAGTGCGCCGATGCACCTATGCAGCAGCAACTACAATTTAAGAATACAATTCTCCAATCAGCACATATATCATTCTATTTGTCTTGTTGAAACAGTCCAAAAAAAACAAGAAATGGGAGAAAATTTTCCATCAATTATGTTTATTGGAGTTCTTACTTTAGCATTGTGTGTTTTCCCTGGTTTTGTTCTATCTCAGAATGAAGGCACCATCAGGCACTACAAATTTAATGTAAGTATATGTTATCTCAACATCATGCAAGGTTATGACTTCAGTTTTTAATTATACAGTTTTGATATTCTTTGTAGATTCAAATGAAAACTGTGACGCGACTATGCCATACAAAAAGTGTGGTGACGGTAAATGGTAAATTTCCTGGACCTCGTATCACGGCTATGGAAGGTGATCGCCTTCTGATTGAAGTCGTTAATCATGTCCCGAACAACATCTCCATCCATTGGTACAAAATTCAATTAAATTTCCTTCCATGAGTACGATGAAATGCACAATTCTTTCTTGAGTCAAGTGTATTATAACATTTTTTTTTTCATTGTAACAGGCACGGGATTAGGCAGCTTCGTAGTGGATGGTCAGATGGACCAGCATATATTACACAATGTCCTATCCAAACTGGACAAAGCTATGTGTACAATTTCACTGTTGTAGGCCAAAGAGGAACTCTTTGGTGGCATGCACATATTTCATGGCTAAGATCAACTCTCTATGGCCCTATAATCATTCTTCCCAAACAAGGCACCCCTTATCCATTTGCTAAACCCTATAATGAAGTTCCCATCATCTTTGGTAATTGATCAATACTTATAATCTAACCATTTTTTACACGTAACGCTTTTAATTATCAAGCTTAATTAAAATCAAATTTCATTGATGATTCTTTGATTATTCCAGGAGAATGGTTCAATGCTGATCCTGAGGCCATAATTAGCCAAGCCTTGCAAACAGGAGGTGGCCCCAATGTTTCTGATGCGTATACCATCAACGGACTGCCAGGGCCGTTGTATAATTGCTCGACCAAAGGTATCCAATATTTCTTTTACAAGAGTAGATTCTAAATTCATCAAGATTTAGTTTTATCATTGCAGCTATTTTTTCAATAGAATTTATGTTCCCTAATCTTATTAATTATATGCGGTGCAGATACTTTTAAACTGAAAGTGAAACCTGGAAAGACTTATCTTTTTCGATTAATCAACGCTGCACTCAACGACGAGCTCTTTTTCAGCGTAGCAAACCATACATTCACAGTTGTTGAAACTGATGCCATTTATGTGAAACCTTTTGAGACTGAAACACTTGTTATTACCCCCGGCCAAACCACTAATGTTCTTCTCAAGACTAAATCCCACTTCCCGAATGCCTCTTTCTTCATGATGGCTAGACCATATGTTACAGGCCAAGGCACATTCGACAATTCCACCGTTGCTGGCATCCTTAATTATGTCATTCCATCAAACATTCGCCATTCGAAAAAACTTCCATTATTCACACCATCCCTACCGGCCCTAAATGACACTAATTTTGTCACTAATTTCACGAATAAATTACGCAGTTTAGCAACTCCTCAATTCCCTGCCAATGTTCCCAAGAAAGTCGATAAACACTTCTTTTTCACAGTTGGCCTTGGAACGAGTCCGTGTGATAAAAGAAATCAAACCTGCCAAGGACCTAATGGAACAAAATTTTCTGCTTCTGTTAACAATGTATCTTTTGTACAACCAAACACAGCCCTCCTCCAAGCACACTATTCTGGACAATCAAACGGCCTCTATAGCCCATATTTTCCTGTAAATCCACTTCACTGGTTTAACTATACAGGAACCCCTCCAAACAACACTATGGTCAGCAATGGAACCAAACTTATGGTTCTTCCTTTCAATACAAGTGTAGAACTAATTATGCAGGATACAAGCATTCTTGGTGCTGAGAGCCACCCTCTTCATCTCCATGGCTTCAATTTCTTTGTTGTTGGACAAGGTTTCGGAAACTTTGATCCGAACAAGGACCCAAAGAACTTCAACCTTGTCGATCCCATTGAAAGAAACACCATGGGTGTGCCCTCTGGTGGATGGGTTGCTATCAGGTTTTTAGCAGACAATCCAGGTGAGTTCAATACTATACAAACAAAAACTAAATTCTTTCTTACTGCTAAACAAGGTGCAATCAATTACAAGAATATAAAGCCTGAAACCTGAATTATAAACCCTAAAAGTACTTTTAAGAAAGACCCTACATTACAAATATATTTAACAAGAGGTTACTATTAAACTATAGAAAATTGGTTTGTGGACAACAATTGGCAAGAATGACACATAGCACGAATTATTTGTTGTCAGGTGTGTGGTTCATGCATTGCCACCTAGAAGTTCACACAAGCTGGGGTTTGAAGATGGCATGGCTAGTTTTAGATGGAAAACTTCCCAATCAGAAGTTGCTTCCACCACCTGCAGATCTTCCCAAATGTTGATCATGCATGAATTTCGAAGAACTAATGGTGCCCTCAGTCTTATTTTTCTTCTATGGCACCGTATTTTGTCTTGGTTTTTTGTACCATTTCCATTTTGAGTTTTGGCATTAGCCACGTTGTTTTGTTGATTATTTTTTTCCATGCAAAATGTGGACTTTAACATCTATAATATCATGGAATGTGGACTTTATATCTCATCATTATTTCCCATTTGTTTTGAGCAAAATTATGTTTTCAATATCCAACGATTTTTTTTGTAATTGAGGCCTTTCCTCTCAACATGAAACTTAATACTCAGCAATCAATCAACAATTAAATAAAGCAAAAAAAGAACAAAAAGAATTTATGCCGTGAAAACCCCGATCACCCAACTAACACGAGTGGATATGGCTTCAATGCAATTAAGATATCCAAGGACTTGTTACAACTGGACCAAGCCATGCTCAAATAACCCTTAGAACAGAGCAGCGATCTCTAAACATCAATGCACCAACAGATTCTAATAGCCAAAGATCCTCTTTAACAGCTTCAGTAGCTGATATGTATTCAGGTTAGTCGACACAGCAACATGTTGTTGTTGGGATTATAAACTAGCATATTAATCGAAGTAAAAACATAAAAAGTAGCTAACTTCATATTATCTCTGTAAATAGCATAATCTGCATCTACAAACCTTTTAGTTTTACTCCTTCCCTACTGTATTTGAAAGATAACCCCAATTCACATGATTCCTTTAAGTATCTTAACAATCATTTAAAGCCTTCCAGTGGCTTGGTCCAGGGTTAGATATATATGTACTCAATACACTAACTGAGTGTGTAACATGAGATCTAGTGTAAATTATAGTATACATCACTGACACTACAGCATTAGCTAATGGGATGCTTGCACGCTTGGAACTCACCATAGAAAACTTATTTATTACTTTTAGTATTTAACGAGTTTGGTTCAACTTTTAAGACATATTTAGACTTCTCTAAAAAGTTTCACCCTAGAATTTTCTTTGTGCTGCCTAAGTCTTTCGTATCAAACTCCGGAAACAAATCATTTTTTTTTTCTTTTTCAGCTTAACACTAGTGCTAATTAACAGCATATTATTCACATACAAAAGCAGATATACAATCACATTGTTTTCATTTTTAGATTTATAATAGAGCAATAATCATATTTACCTCTTTTAAAATTTAAGGACAACACAAAGGTATCAAATCTCTTGTGCCACTCTAGGAGAATTTTTCAAATCATATAATGACTTCTTTAAGAGGCACACAAAGTTTGATATGTCTTTCTCAATAAATCCTAAAGGTTGATTCATATAAAATTTTCATCCAATTCACCATGTAAGAAGCCCATTTTTCATCCTAAAGGTTGTTCAGGTTTCTATGAAAATGAGCAAATAAAGCTAACATTACCCTTATAGTGGAATATGTATTTACTGCAAAAAGGTTTCTCTGAATTTAATCTTCAAATGTGTACTTTTAGTATTGAGATTTTTAGTTATTTATATTATAACCATCCAGTTAAGCAATCTATATGGTCGCATTTTGTAATTTAAGATGGAATTTTCTATAGTAAACTTATTATTTGAGAAAATATCTATGCATGTCAGTACAACGTAGTCGAGTTTCTTATTCTGTATTTTTACATAATCTCTCGCTTCAATAGCTTCCTGTGATGCAAATTCAAAATGAATTTTCATTTTTTTTTTTTTTGTTTTCCTTTCCACGAAAAAACAGTGTACGATGTAAGGGCATGGGCACGAACCAATTCTCATCATGCATTGGAAGGTTGGGAAGAGAAAAGGAAAAAGAACACTGCATTACTGAATTATTTTGATATTTTTATAATTTTCATGATAATTACAAAATTTTTATCCTAATTTCTTAAATCTATTTATACAATTTAATTTTAGGATTTTTTTTAAGCTTTTGAAGTTATTATTAATTGATTATTGAGGCTCGAGGTTGTATCTTAAAAAGTCAACCTTATCATGTGTTAAGTGGAGCCTAATTATTTCCGTTGTGTGGAGCCGGTATGCAGAATGACCATTACGGTGAGTTTGTCCTGTGGTTGGAAGGAGAGCACACAACCCCTTTCATGAGATGCATGGAGCGGAGATTAAAGACCATAGTTTCATTAAAGATAATTAAAAATTTTACATTTGTAATTTTGATTTTATCCTAATTCATCTTATAAATAGGGAGTCACTCATTAGAGTTTTGTATTACTGTCAAAAAGAGAGAGGAGGTTACAGAAAATATGGTATGCAACTTTCTCTTATAAACTTGTTTTCAACATAGAAGAGGATGTAGTCTTACATTAAGGCGAATCTCTATAATTTTTTTGTATTCTTGTGTGAATATTTTTCTTTTTCCTATTTAATTGCTCTCGGTTGTATAGAATTAGAGTTTCTAATTCTCCACAATTGGTATGATGGCCTTTGGTTTTGATTGAGAACAATGGATGAAAAAGAAGGAACATCGCTAAAAGCTTATAAGTTGGATGGTATGGATTTTGTATTTTGAAAGATGTAGACCAAGGATTATCTTCAAAATAAAAATTACAACATCCCCTTTTGAATGACAAGATGAATGGAATGAAGGACGATTAGTTAAAACTCCTTGATCGTCATGTGTAGGGTGTTACACGGTTAACACTGTTGAAAAATGTTAGTTACAAGTGATGACAAAGAAGATTACGGTATATGTGATGAAGGTATTGTTCGATATGTATAAGAAATCATCTACGTGTAACAAAGTACATGTGATGAAAAAATTATTCAATTTGGATAAGATTAAAGGTGCTCCAACAATATAACATCTCAATAAATTTGTAACGACCCGACCTCGCGCCACAGCCGTTATCATATCATACTTACTGTCCGTTTTGGGAGAGCCTAGGCCCATCTTAGCCCCTCACGACTTTCTGACGCGTCCTCCAGAATTCGAACCCAAGACTTTCATCATATGAGAGACTTAAGTTGAATCCTGGTACTAATTGAGCAACTGGTCAGGTCGTTACAAAAAAATGCGCATTTTTTTTTGTAACGACCCAACCTCGTGCCGGAGCCATTATCATATCATACGTACTGTCCGATTTGGGAGAGCCTAGGCCAATCTTAACCCTCACGAATTTCTGACGCGTCCCCCAGGATTCGAACCCAAGACCTATAGGCTATGTGAAACTAAGATTTAGTAATGTTCAGGACACTATTGTTATTGAGGAAGTCCATAGAAGACATTGTGAAGACAATATCAAATTATATCCTACATGTTGAGACTAGGGGTAGAGATTTTGATTAAAAAAAATCAATGAAGGCAACGGTTAAAAGTGGAGAAATGGTAGAAGTAAGTACATGTCCATAAAGAATATAGAGTGTGTCTGGTGGTCATTTTGGGCCAAATTTAATCAATAAAGTGACCGTTAGTAGGGCCCGCACCACTCATGGCCGGTCAAACATTGCGGCTGATGTGATCCGCAACGATAGGAAAAGCAATTATTTTGGCCAATTTCTTTGATACCAGACAGGCCCATAAAATGCTGAAATTGTGATTAGTGTGATCATATGAAGAAGAATTGTAGAGAACCAAAGTAGAATGAAGTAAAGAATCGCGATAGTGCGTTGACTGAAAAGGTACAAAATACTTTACTCTTGTTGGTTGACGGTCCTATTAATTCTTAGATGATGGATTAGGGAACAATTTTTACACCACTCTACATCGTGAGATTGTGGAAAATTATGTTGCTGGAAATCATGAAAACCTATATCGTACTAATGGAAAACCTATGGATATTGTCATTATTGGTATTGTCATGATGAGGCACATAAGTAAGAATAGGATGAAAGTGATTCAATCTAAAGGAAAGCAAATAGGGATGAAATTTGTTGAACACCATTTGTGTGAATGTTGTATTTAAGCAGAAAAGGTCTAGTTTATGTAAAATCGGAAGGTGGTCAAAAGCTACAAAATTGGAGTTAATTCATATGGATGTATGGGAACCTTCAACTATTACTTCACTAGGAGGTTCCAATTATTATGTATATGTATGAGTTTATTTTCTAAAGAACAAATCTAATGTCTTTGATGCCTTCAAGATATGGAAAGCAATTGTTGAAAATGAGATAGATATGAAGGTGAAGTGTTAGCAATTAGATAATGGGGAAAATATGTAGATGATAATTTCAAAAATTATTGTAATGATAATGGAATCAAGATGAAGAAGACCAATTCAGGAACACTAAAAAAATGGTTTGAATGAGAGGATGAATAGAACTTTAAACAAGTGCACTTGAAGTATGAGATTACGTGTTTGGTTATCAAAGAGGTTCTAGATTGAGGTTGTCAATAATGCAGCTTATGCAATCAGTAAAGGTCATTCAACACCATTGAACTGTAGAATACTAGAGGAGGTGTGGACCGGTAAAGAGTTAAATCTTTCATACTTGAAAGTGTTTGATTGAGTTTCATGATTTCACATTGATTCTAATGCGAGTTTGATGCTAAATCAAAAATTTGTTTCTTTATTGTGTATGAAAATAACTAATTTGGTTATAGTTTCTGAGGTCATCAAAATCTGGAGGTTATCGAGAGTGATGATGGGATCTTCAATGAAAGTGTCGTATAAGGAGGGGTTGAGAATATATCCTAAAGGCATATGTCCTGAAATTAAGAAGGGTAAGGTGTCCTATTGAAATACCTTTCTGCAATTGAGTTAGAGAATGGTGATGGTGAAGATCGAGAAAATATAGCTCCAGAAGTGTTACACCTTATCCACTTATAGTCAAAGTCAAATGAGAATTAAGTTGAATAAATGATTTTTATGGGGTCTAATTGGTAATTACTAATACTTGAAGGGCTAGAAATAATATATAAAGAAATCTAGGAAGTAAGTTTACATTATTAGAAATGAAAGGACTAAATATGAGTTTGTATGAAGATTGGGGACTTTGCAATTGGCTATAGTTATCCATTTAACTTTGACTTTATCTATCCATTTTG